TGTCCATTCTCTGAGGGGATGTTCCCCTGCGCTCCGGTTGCCGTTACACTTTTGCTCTGAGCTCTTCTCCTGTTCCCTGATACACTGTCGGTTCTCATAAGCTGGCCATGGCGTCTGTACCACGTGAGGATGACATTTCAAGCCTATGAAATGGTGCTCCTGTATGTTTTTTCCCACAGTGTTATGGTAGTGGTGACTGAGGCTTCGAAATTTTTTTTCATCATCTACTGAAACCTACTGTCTGGTTCTGCCCTGTCCCCTTGCTGTTCAGTTAATTGTTTCCACTTCTCAGGGATTTATAACTTCCAGCTTGTTTCTAATATCAAACATCTTCCAGAATATTCTCAGCCACTCCAAATTTGCCAACATCTGCAAACTTTTTTCTTCTATCAATGTTGTCTTGAAATATTTAATAGCTTTGGCAGATTTCTGCCCAATTCTACCTGATACAGCCTTTCAGTTCAATAACTAGTCTTTGCTTATCCTCTTTTTCCCTACCAGTTGAACACTTGGTTTACAGAGATTTCGTCTAAACCATGTTTCTCTGGTTTGTTTATGTTACTGGCCTGTATCAAAACCCTTAAACTAATGTATGCAATGTATATTCTATTTCTTTTATCCACTTGGCTTATTATCCTGTTACATAAGGAAATTAAGGCAGTTTGACAGAATTTCTTCTTGAGAAGTCTACAGTGGTTATGACTTAGCAACTTTTCTATGTATATGAAATACCTCGTGAAATATATTAATTTAGAGAACAAAAGAGGTTGTGTGTTCTTTATTTTGAGCAGTGTTTCTGATCTGCTTCTTTATTTTGGGGGATTTTGTGCAGAATAATTAATGAAAAAACTTCAACGTAATACTCGGAAGCACTACTTCCTTTGAAGAAAGAGCTCCCCTTTGAAGGAATGTACCAAAATGCTAATCCTACATTTTAGTAAGATTATCTTTGTCTTTTCTCCAATTTTAATGCAAATATAGTGCTAACTTTAAACAAAACATACAATTAATCTTTATAAAAAAGTATTTCTGTCATCATAGCTTTCTATGAAACGTTTTACTTACAGATACCAAATATACTGGACTCTTAACGGTTGGACTTCCTGATTTTAAAGGTCTTTTCCTACCTAAACAATTCTATGATTCTAGAGAAAATTTGGGTGCTGTGTTTTATTACAGCTCTTTCTTAATACCTTTACGCAGAATGAGAACGAATGTGTAGGGTTTCAAACATGATGTGTTATTTAGTCCTAACAACTTCATATGACAAGGGCAATAGTGTCAGGAATTGACATAAAATATATGCAGCGATAGTAAAATATAAATTATATTGATTGGTGTTGCTAATCCCTACTTATCCTAGTGAGTTCCTGCAGCCTCAAAAGGGTGCTCATTTTGATGCTGATTCAGAGGACTGGCTCATTCATTGCATTCATCAAAGTAAGGTACTTACCAGCTTTGCTTCATTGTAGGGAATAGGCTTGCTTTTCATGTGGGTGAACGTATATTCTTTTAAATCTGAAAAGACATTCTGCATTCTGTTCATGCCTACTTTGTGTAAAGATTTATTTTTAATTGTAGAACTTTAAAAAAAAATAATTTGAGAAGCCCGGTGTTATTTAGGAGCTAAATATTGCTAGCTGTAATGGTATTTTGAGGCTTTTGAAAAATACTCACTTTTCAGTAGTCCATTTGTGAATATTGGATGTTTGCACATTTGATTATTTTAATCAAAATTAAAATGCTTCCTTGAAACACAGTAAACTTTCAGATAATTTAGAAAAAGCTCTCAGTAAAGTGGAATGTCATGCCCAATGATGCTTACAGAGGGATCTGCTGTATCTCAGTGCATGCTACGACATTCAGTGCTGGTTTAGAAAATCTCAGCACCTGAGATTCAGTGACATGCAGGCAGCATCTTTCTCATCCGGGACATGTGTGTTTTGTGTCCAGTGAGTATTTCTTGTGTGAGTGATGAACAAAATTTAATGACCTTTAGCTATAACTAAAGAAGGTGCTTTTGTAAAGAACAAACGCAAGCTATGGCAATTTGTGCTTCTAAATCTGGAAATCCTCACTTCAGCTGGGAGTTGAGTAAGGGGTCTGTCCTGCATGTCTACAGGCAGTTTAACTACACATCTAAATAAGGGATAGCAGTTTGCAGCCCTCATTTATTCCAGTCACCGATCAAATATTTTGGTGGAGTGTAATGCAAACAAAACCACATGTCTAATCCTTTCCTTACAATGAACAGTAGGCCACATCCTAAAACACTTATGCAGAAAAAGTCCTTCTGAGGCCATTATTCCAGGGCTGAAAAAGCCCTGATGGGCTGATTAATGAGGAATGATGCTTAAGTATGTACTTTGCAAAGGACTTAAGGCACCCGCTGCCTACAACCTCCGCCAGTGGGGTTATATGGGATTAGTGTGCAGCTGACTTCTTGTCTGCTTTTCTGGATTTCCTTTGACTAAATACCAATTTACAGAGAGACTTCTTGATAACGTATTACCTGGTAAAACACAGTGCGTATTATAATTAGGACTGGGTTTGGTGCTAAGATTGAAGTTCTGACATGTTTATGTCCTACTTTTTGAAAGCAATTGGTAAGTGTGTATTTAGGGAGGACTTAGAAAAGTGATCACAGCCTTTCAGATGTTACTTACTTTCCGTTTGCTTCCCTCCATTTGCTTGCCAGAGACTGTAAGGTCCTGGTGTCCTGGGTGTGCTGCTAGGGAAGAGGACAGACCTGCTGCCCTCCTTCTTTTCCCCTGGTTCCGATCTTTCCTCGCCGTCCCTCTCGCACCTGTGTGGCCTCCCACGAAGCCCACTGGGTTTGCTAATCAGGCAGATTATTTCCTGGGTTTTTTTGTGGTTTATTGCTAGTCTGGGCAAGTTGGTTAAATCAGTTTCGGAGCCACTGAGAATACAAAAGCTAGTGTGAACAAGCAGCAAGACGGTGCGACTGGGCACCAGGGAAAGAACG